GCTCTCCGTAAATATTGTCTCAAAGGCTCTTCCTAGATACTCCACTTCAACCCGGCAATTTTCAGCCTCCTTGTTAAATATTGGAACCATATTGAACCATTTTACTCACTTGGTTGTTCTCCAAACTGAAAGATGTCCTAAAAATAACCATTCCCAGTTCTGTGAGTGATGCTCAAGCCCCCCTCAGACCGTGGCTGCCTCCCAGCTCCGTCTGCGCTTCAGTTAGTTTATCCCAACACTAAATCAGCTCAACTGGGGACTTTTAATCCCACTGCTAATTTTTACCAAGACCCACCTCTGCCTGCTGGCGTGTGAGAAGCACAAGGCAGGACCACAAATTCCCTTGGGAAGAGCATCAGCCTGGCAGGACTCAGCACTGAAGATGATCAGAGAATCATTTGGGAGGGAAGGGACCTTAAAGATTATTGAGTTCCACCCCCTGCCCTGGGCAGGGACACCTCCCACCACACCAGGTTGCTCCAGGTCCCCTCCAACCTGCCCTTGAACCCCTCCAGGGATGGGGCAGCCACAGCTTCTCTGGCCAACCTGGGCCAGGCTCTCACCACCCTCACACCAAACAAGTTCTTCCCCACATCTCAGATCAATCTCCTAATTTTTGGTTTAAAACCCTTCCCCCTCCTCCCATCGCTCCCCTCCCTCATCAAGACTCCCCCCCAGCTTTCCTGGAGCCCCTTGAGGGACTGGAAGGGGCTCGAAGACCTCCCCGAAGCCTTCTCTTCTCCAGGCTGAACCCCCCCAACTCTCTCAGCCTGTCCTCACAGCAGAGGGGCTCCAGCTCTCTGATCATGATGATGATGACCAGGAGGACTTGGTCTGGGCTCATGTCAATGAGTCCAGCGTCCATCCAGCTTGAGATATGGCATTTGGAAGCAAGAAAACACCTTTGGGGTTGCTGCAGCAAAGAGGTCTCAGGCAGGGACTCTTCCTTGCTGTGCTCCCCTTGAGCAGGTTGTCCTGTCCTCTCCACCTCATCCAGACCCAGAGCCACACTCAGGAACGGGGCTGGATGCAGAGCAATGCAGTGAGACCTTGCAGTTCTCCTGCTGTGAGGAGGATGCAGAACAAAGGCTACCAAAAGGTCCCTTCTAGCCTTAATTTATTCTTCTAACCTATACTGGCCACTCTCCCTGTCCAAGGCCACCCCACCGTACCACGTCCCCTGCTACCCTGACCCACCACACCAGCCCTGTCCTGTGTCCTGTGCCCAGGGTGACCCTGTACCTGCTGCCTCCCACTCACTGCCGTGCTGGCCTCATCCAGAACTGCCCCTGCAGCCATGGACCTCCCATTTGTGTCCAAAACCACCCCACGCCCATATCTTCCTCCAGCCAGCACACGACGGCACACGGCTCCTTCTGCTCCGACCGGGACGTTGCGTGCGAGGGCTGCAGTTATTAAAATGGTATTTGGGGGATTTTCTTTTCTTTTCTTTTTTTTTTTTTTTGACTTTTTACAAGCAACAGCCAGTAAACAAAGCACAAATATGTGCTGAGTCGGCTCCCTCCTCGCGGGGCGGGCCAGCTCCTGCATCCAAACCCCGCTCCAAACTCTGCATCCCGGCGGATCTGCGCGGCAGAGAGGTGCCACCAAACAGGGGCGAGGTCCCCCTTTCCTGCAAAGCTCATAAAATGGTCCCTCTCCCTTGGTCCCCTCTGTGGACAGATTCCTCTTCTCAACACCCACAACTACCAGGCGATGGGTCCTACAGGCATCCAGGGTGAGACCCAACATGACACCGTCAAGCCGGGTGGGTGGACATCCCCAAAGGAAGAGGGACCTGGCATCTGGGCAGACCTTGGACCCTCCTGCCTACACGGCTGATCCTTCCCAGCACTATACTCCCAGCCCAGCCATGCTTGGGACCATCCATGGCCACCTCAAGGATGGCTGAAGACCTCTTTGCCCCACCTGTATGGAGGGCCAGACTCTGCCCCATGGCTTCGAGCTGGTGGACACCCCTAAGCACAGCCCCACACCCCACTTAGGGGACATGCAACCAAGATTTACAGACCCAACCCGCCGAGGACAGTGTCACCCTGGCCAGCAGGCACCAAGCGTCCTTCTCCACCCAAACCCACCTTTGAAGGCCCATGTTGAGCAGCTCCAGCGAGGCCCATCTGCAGAGTCCTCCACGTCTGGCAGGGCTGTGGCGCTCAAAGCCTTTGAAACGCCGCTTCCGTCCTCCCCACATCTTGAAGGCAGATTGCGAAAATGCAAAAAATCTGTTGTTTTTGTTAATGTTGCTTTGAATATCTCCAAGCACCGCTCGGGCAGGAAGGTGGGATCAGGGCCACCGACACGGGCAAACAATGGACCCTCCGGGAGGGTGCCGAGGCCCTGACAGTGGGTCCCAGCAAGCTGCTGGAGATGCTGCACTGGTGGTGTGACAGCGGGCTGCAGGTAGAGCTGTGCTTCAGACTGGGCTCCTTCCAACACCAAAGGTCCTCTTGTGAGCACCAACATGTGCCAAACCCAGCAGATGCTGCCTGAATTTTGAAGACTTCCTCATGCAGCCAAGTGCCAGGTGATGGGAACGCTGCTGCTCCTCCAGTTGGAGCCCCCTCCAACCTGCCCTTGAACCCCTCCAGGGATGGGGCAGCCACAGCTTCTCTGGCCAACCTGGGCCAGGCTCTCACCACCCTCACACCAAAGAACTTCCTCCTGAGATTTCACCTCAGTCTCCCCTGTTTCAGTCTGAAGCCACTACCCCTTGTCCCATCACCACGTGCCCTTGTAAAAAGTCCCTCCCCAACTTTCTCATAGGCCCCTTCAGGTATGGTAAAGCTGCTCTAAGGTGTCTCCAGAACCTGCTCTCCTCCAGGTACCCACATCCCTGAGCATCCCACGATGGGAGAGCCAGCGAGAGGCACTGCAGGACCGCACTGAGCTCCTTGGTGGCCTCCACACAATCCCCAGCCCCACAATCCACGTGGTGACACGGTGCTGGATCTGCTGCGGCTCCGAGCTCAGCGCCTGGTCCTGGTGGGATGGATCCCCCCAGGAAGGGCTCACAGGGTGTCCCCAGGTGCGTGTCCCCTGGCGCTGTCACCTCCCCATCGATGGCAGAGACTCGGGGGCTCCTCAGCAGAACAAAACCAGTTGGGATTTGGGCAGGAACGAGCCAGGACCGGTGCCAGGAGTGACCTCCTGGTGCAGGAGGGGGTCCCAGAGCCAGCTGTGAGACCCCGCCGAGGGAAAGGGGAGCCCCAAAGCAACCCGTGGTGGCCACTGGCCAGGGCTCATCGCTTGCCAGCCCCTCCTGAAACGAGGAGTTCTCCAGAGCTCGGCCTGCAAGGAGCGGCTGAAGGAGCTGGGATTGTTTAGTGTGAGGAAGAGGAGGCTGAGGGGAGACCTCATCACTCTCTACAACTACGTGAAAGGACACTGTAGAGAGGTTGGTGCTGGTCTCTTCTCACAGGTAATTAGTGACAGAACGAGAGGGAACGGCTTCAAGCTCCAACAGGGGAGGTTTAGATTGAACATTAGGAAGGAATTTTTCACCCAAAGAGTGGTCGGGCGTTGGAAGAGGCTGCCCAGGGAGGGGGTGGAGTCCCCATCCCTGCACGTGTTCAAGAGTCATTTAGATGTGGGGTTGGGGGATATGGTGTAGGGGAGGACTTTGTAGAGTAGGGGAGATGGTTGGACTCGATGATCCCAAGGGTCTCTTCCAACCTCAATGATTCTATGAAACGGGGGCTCCCTGGGGACAGTGGGGACACCGCCGAGGGAGCTGGCGGTCCCCAAAGGGGTCCAGCTCTCTTCCAACCTCAATGATTCTATGAAATGGGGGCTCCCTGGGGACACCGCCGTGGGAGCTGGCCGTCCCCAAAGGGGTCCAGCCTCGTCCCCCCCACTGCAACGCCAAGGAGACCCCCGGCGGGACCCCCCCATCCCCGCGATGTGGGTCCTGGGGATGAAGATCTTGCTCCTGGGGGGGGCTCCAGCTTCCCCCCCCTCCCAACAACCCATGGCCGGGCCGCTGCTGCCCCCCACCGGCCACTGCCCGCCCTGCACCCGCGGCGCTGCCCGAGCTGGGGATGCCCAGGGCTGGGAAACTGGGAGTGCTCCCAGTATGGATCATTCAGCGCCCCAAAGCCCATCAGCACCAGGGCTGGGAAACGGGGAGCGCTCCCATCACGGCGTCGCATCAGCAGCTCTCCCCCTCGGGAAGCTCAAATTAAAGGGGCTGGAACAACAATCCCTTTGTGCCAAAATCCCCTAATGCAAAAAGGAGGGAGGAAACCCAGAATCACAGAATCTTCCAGGTTGGAAGGGACCTTAAAGATCATCTTGTCCAACCGTCAACCTAACTGACAAAAATAGACACCCACACAACAAACAAGGAGCATCATCACTAAACCAGACCTCCCAGCACCACATCAACCCGGCTTTTGAACACCTCCAGGGATGGGGCCTCAACCCCCTCCCTGGGCAGCCCATTCCAAGGGCTGAGAACCCTTTCAGGGAAAAAATTTTTCCTAATATCCAGCCTGAACCTCCCCTGGGGCAACTTGAGGCCATTTCCTCTTGTCCTGTCGCCTGTGACTTGAGAAAAGAGACCGACCCCCCCTGGCTACACCCTCCTTTCAGGGAGTTGGAGAGAGCAATAAGGTCTCCCCTCAGCCTCCTCTTCTCCAGGCTGAACAGCCCCAGCTCCCTCAGCCTCTCCTCATCAGACTTATTCTCCAGACCCCTCACCAGCTTTGTTGCCCTTCTCTGGACCCGCTCCAGTACCTCAATGTCTTTTTTATGGTAGGGGGCCCAAAACCCCCCATATTAGACATCGCTCCCCGTGGGGCCGGGCGTAGAGAGCACTGACAAAGACACAAGGGACAGAGCACGACCTGCTGGGGCTCCACATCACCCCACAAAAGCAAGATGCTTTGTAGATTCACCCCTTGCAGGAGTGAAGCTCCTGGAGGTCGCCACCAAGACAAGAATTTAACGACGTGATAAGGAAAATCACTGCAGACACCGGGTTGGTGAGAAAGACGACTGTATTTCTGCTCTTTCCGTGTGTCACACACAAGTTATTGTGAGGTTTAGTACAAGGAGACACTGGGATACGCACAAATGAACCCCACTGCGAACGGCATCGTCCCACCGCAGGACCAAACCTGACACCAAGCGTGCAAACCAAGCATAAACAATGTAAAAATATATTATATATTTACAGACGCCATCTTTTAAAAAGCCGAGATGCGAGTATAAATTCCAGAGCTAAAACATGTCGGGGAGAAAACCGGGGGTTAGATTCCGTGAGCTGTTTTTTTTTTTTTTTGTAGGCAAATTTTACAGTCACAAAAATAAAACTTTAAAAATCCGCGGGGTGAGAGGAGCTGAGAGGATTTTTGGACACCAGGAAGGAGCCTCTGACGTGCGGCTGCGAGGTGCCAGCGGGTGCAGAGGGGAGGGCTCTGGTTTAGGGACAGAGAGGGATGATGTTTTGCTGTGAGACAGAGGCAGGGCTCCACCAGTCTGACCAGTGCTGGGATTTCAGCCTCCCCAGCACACCCCAACCCGGTTACTGGGGCTCCCCACGGATGTGTGGGGAGTATTTTGGTGGGGAAACTCCAAAGGAGAGATGAGTTATTGAAATCACTGGTGCAAAAACCCCAGTGGGTGCCCCGGCTCCGGGCAGAGGCGAGACGAGCTCCACCATCCCCAGCCTGGCATCAGCCACGGGGGAGATTTTAGTAGTTAAAAGCCTGAGAGTTAATCTGATAAATAAGCACATTTGGCCTTGGCAGCCTTTGTCTGGGTTCAACGACTCCAGCAGGTCCCCGGGCAAAAGCTGGCTACGGCCTCAGTTTCCAAACTGACCCAAAGGTGTTCCTCAATCCACTGAAATCACTCCAGGATCCTCCTCCCCAAGGAATGCCATCACCAGGTGGTGTCACACACTCCCCAAATTCCCTCCAATGAATCCCTGTGTGCCTGAACACTCCTCTCTCCAAGTAAAACCAGCAAAGGTGCAGATGGAGCCTTTGAGCGCGGGGAGGGACTCAAACAGCGAGGTCAGAGATCACCTCCAGGAGAAGGTAAGAGAAGGGACAGTCCCAGGTGTGTCCCAGCAGATGGCTCAACAAAACCAGTCTGGGGGATTGATGTGGTGTGAGGGAAAAGCTGGGCTGACAATAGAGCACACAGGACCTTCCCCTCACACCTCCCTCGGGCACAGACCCCTCAGCAGGTCCCGTCCCACACAAACTGCCAAGAGGGCACTTCAGATGGCTCCTGCAGCACCTGGGGATGTGGTGGGACAAGTGTCTGGGAGACTCCTTCATCTTCCATCGCTCTGCAAGGGAAAGGGGCTCCTCCTGCCTCTCTTCTCACCCGCCCACAGAATTAACCACACAAGTTGCCATTTCCAGCCCATGGCAGCCAACACCATCTGCCCAATGGGACTAAACACCAGCCTGTGCCAGAGCAGCAGCCCAAAGCCTGGTCTGAGGCTGGGCTGAGGAACACAGACAGATGGGAACGTTTGAAGGCTTAAGCTTGAAGGTTTCAAGCTTCTCAGGGCTGCTGCTGGCAGGGAGCAGAGCACTGGGATTACGGAGCCCACTAAATCCACCCAAGTTTTAGTGCCCTGCACAGAGGACACATAGAGCAAAGACTTTGCTCCCAGTGCAGCAACCCCCAAGCACAGACCCCTCACCTCAAATTCCCTGCCCCAGAGCCCAACAACTGACCTACAGCCCCGTTATCCCGGTGACACTCCCCACACAGGCTGCTGGAAGCTGACTCCGGGTCCCTTCCTTTTTATTTTGAGCTCCATGTCTCCTTCCCTCTCTCATCCCTGTCGCAGGGGAGCTGAGCAAAGAGAAGGAAACAGCACTACCTACAAAAAAGGTTATTTTGTTTTTAGGAGAATCATATTCCTGTTTCTCCAGAGGTTGGGGTAGGTAAGCCCTTGCCCAGCACACCTTTCGCCCGAACTACAAGCTACAAATTTAAGTGTTAAATATGGTATTGAAGTCCCTGTTTAAAACAATCCTGGGTGGCAGCCAGAACCAGCATTCTCCACCTCCGACAGAGCCCGGAGGTGGCCGGTGTCCTCTGCTGCCCCTGGGGCTCATCAGACCACGGGAGAGAGCTGACTTTGTGCCCAAAGTGTGAAAAGAGAACACGGCGAGACACGGGGGAGGCACAGAGGGACTCCTGTTGTGAAAAAAGGCTCATTGCTCCCTTCCTCTGAGGAGCAGAGCAATAGGAAAGGAGCTGATGTTCACCCAGCAGTGGTCTTTGCTACCCAAGCTGGTGGCACGCTGAGGACGAGACCTGGGGTGCTGCATCCACGAGGCACAAACCTACAGCTCCTGGGGGGGCCAGGACTTGCCCCCTCCCCACCCTAGAGCTACCCCCGGGCCTCAGGGCAGCACAAAGAGTGGATCTGGGTCTGCCATGTGTGAGTTTCTCACCTCGCTGCCAGACACAGGGCTCCCCGGGGAAGGTACAGAGAGACTAGACTGACATCGTTAGCCAAACTTTAAATGGTTGAGTAAAAGCAATTAGGAAAACCCCCTAGTGCGGACAGACAAACCAAGCAGCGCTGGGTGGGTTCCTTCTCCACCTCATGGACATCTCCTGCGTGTTCCACCACTTCGGGGGGGGAAGGGGGGGCAACTCAAACATCCAGCACCTTCAGCCAGGAGGGAAGTCCCAGCCTTAGAAGTCACTGAGGATACTGATGTCTGCGAACTCGTTGCGGTAGCGGTGAGCGTACAGACCGAGCAGGAAGGCCCATTTCAAGGAGATGAAACTCCAGACGGACGACAGGTAGTAGCTTCTGGGGTCAGTCAGGGCTAGGAGAGGAAAAAGAGGCAGATACAGTTAAAAAGCCCATTTATCTCTCATGCAGGAAGAACCCAGCTCAGCCCACAATGAGAATCTCATTCTGTGACAAAGGCTCAGTCACTGCCTCATTCCCAGCTCTCTTGACTCAGAGTGTAAAATCCCCTCACCTCTGCCTCAGCACAGTATTCTGGTCACAGTCTGAAGAAAGTCATTATTATCCTTTGAGATTACTGTCTCCTGAGAACTGTAGGGTCACCCACTCCGCGACCCTCTCCTCATTTTGGGCCCAAGGGATGGAGTTTGTGTGAATTCCTGGCTCTTTCTCGTGGCTCAAGAAAAAAACCTCAACTCACAGCTCTTAATTTCTCTCCCCCTGCCTTACTGCTCCCTTCTCCCTCACCACAGAGGGAGAGGGAATCTGCAAATCTGGGGGGAAAAGAGGAAATAAAATATATCCTCCTCCTAAAAATGCTTTTTACCAATGGTCGTGACCAATATTTAATATGTAATACTGGTGCCCTTCAAGCTGTGCTGCAGGTCTTCAGCCCAGCGCTGTGACAACCACACGTTGGTGAATGACACAAACGGCCTCCTTTGAGAGAATCTTTGCAAAGAAACACTTTTCCTTTTTATCTATTATAAAAGTGCCTCTACTTAGGGCAGTCTAAGCAGTCTACCCTTTGAAGTCTAGTGGGTACGCTTCTGTTTTTGAGTGCATGTCAGCGGTCTGCATATCTATTTTCTACATTTAGGGTGTTTTTTTTTTTGTCCCAGAGATGTCAACAATTTTGAAATACATTTACGTAACCGAATGCATAAACCAATCCCAGCTGCGTGGTCATTATTAGAAAATAAAGACAGATTCTTTTTTTTTAAAGAACACACAAAGCAATAATGATTCAGTAAATCCCACTCATTAAAGGTACCAGTCCTAAACTTTCCATACATAAATAACCTATGCAGATGTTCTACTTTCTCCCCTAAATTAGGGCTTTCTCCTCCCTAAAATACCTCTGTTTCCCTAAAAAAACCCCAATTTTCCCCCAAGCATTTTCTCCTCAGGTCTCCAAGAAAGGAGGTGATGACAAATATTTGCTTTTCTTTTTACATTTGTATTTCTAAGGATTGCGTACGGGTATTTTCACAGCCTTGCACTGGGCTGAAGCTCTCGAATCTCCGCGGGGAACGTGTTTAGACTGAGCCAAGGGCTTCGGGTGGGTCACGACCCCAGCCCAGTTTGCCCAGCATCCCCAGAACAACCACAACAGGACACTCGGTGGCTCCCAGCCCAAATGCAGCGAGCAACAAACACAGACGACTCCTAAAAAAACAAACCCCAAACTTTCTCCCTTTGGTCTGCTGCCAAGCAAATACTGGGAGTGATTATGTGAGCCCTGGTTAGACAATGTTAAATATTTTATAGCACCACGGCTTTCTGTGCTGACTAAGAGGAGGCATTTTCACCCCGCTGACTCCTGTTTGGATTTCAATATCCTCACCCACCTGCTTTATGAGCGCTGAAGAGGACACGTTTAAGAGCACTCCTTTTATTTGTCATGGAAATAAGTAAATTCCAGTTCCTACAGGAAATAAGGCTGGAAAGGTGGATTCCCTGCCAGCGTAAAGACCGGGCCCAAGGAGGCACCCATCAAATATTAGAGGATGCCCTCAGGGAGCGGAGTCACTCGTGACATTAAGATATCAGAGCTGAAAAATGAAATGCGGTGCCACTCCTACAGCTGCCCCCCCAAAAGTCTCTCAGAAGAGACAGCAGGACCCCCCCCAGATTCCCACCCCACAGACTCTTCCCTTCCTTCAAACCCAATCCCAGTAATCCCAGCAGCATTACTCGTTTCTCCCAGTCGTGGGCTGCAAAGGTACTTACACTGGTGCTTGGTGATGGCCAGGACAAGGAATGTGCAGAATCCCACCACGGAGAGAGTTGAGAAGAGGATCCCGATGAAGAGGAAGAACCTCAGCCCTTTTAACCAGGTCCTCCAGTAATCCTGCACATACATCACATGCGTGATTAGGGCCCAGAGCGCCAGAACACCTGCTCAATTAGACAGCAAGGGCAATCAGCGTCACTCGGCATCACAGAACGGTGTCTAATAAATACACAGCTCATTAAACCCCACATGAAACACCAAGGAACACTAACGATTCATGGCTATGTCCCCCCACAGAGGGGGAAATCCCAGAAGAAGTGGCTGCCTGTGCCAGCATTGCCCTCCATGACCCCCCCTCCTTAAAGTGCTTTAGACCCAAGTCTTGATTCCAGGTTGGCATGGGAAAAGTGGCTGCCTGTGCCAGCATTGCCCTCCACGACCCCCCGCCCCCTGCTCCTTAAAGTGCTTTAAAGCTCATTAAACCCCACATGAAACACCAAGGAACACTAACGAGTCACGGCTATGTCCCCCCAAAGAGGGGGAAGTACCAGAAAAGTGGCTGCCTGTGCCAGCATTGCCCTCCATGACCCCCCCTCCTTAAAGTGCTTTAGACCCAAGTCTTGATTCCAGGTTGGCATGGGAAGGATTCACAGAATCCCAGACTGGCTGGGGTGGGAAGGGACCTCTGGAGAACATCTCCCCCAACCCCTGGCCACAGCAGAGTCACCCAGAGCAAGTCCCACAGGGTCACGTCCAGGTTGGTTTGGAATCTCTCCAGAGCAGGAGACCCCACACCCTCCCTGGGCAGCCTCTTCCAGGGCTCTGACACCCTCACAGCAGAGAAGTTCCTCCTCATGTTCAGATGGAACTTCCCGTGTCCCAGTTTGTGCCAGTTGCCCCTTGTCCTGTCACTGGGCACCACTGGGAAGAGTCTGGCCCCATCCTCTTGCCCCCTACCCTTTAGCTATTGTTCAACATCGATGAGATCCCCCCTTACTCTTCTCCAGACTAAAACCACCCAAGTCCCTCAGCCTTTCCCCAGTCCCCTCATCATCTTCGTAGCCCTTTGTTGGACCCTCTCCAGCAGTTCCTAGTCCTGCCTGAACTGGGGAGCCCAGACCTGGTCCCAGTCTCCAGCTGGGGCCTCCCCAGGGCAGAGTAGAGGGGGAGGATGACCTCCTTCCAACCACAGGCCACCCCAGGAGACCATTTGCTTTCTTGGCCACAAGGGCACATTGCTGGCCCGTGGGCAACTTGCTGTCCACCAGGACTCCCAAGTTCCTCTCTCAGAGCTGGTTTCCAGCAGGTCACCCCCAGCCTGTCCTGGTGCAGGGGGTGATTCCTCCCCAGGTGCAGGACCTTACACTTGCCCTGGTTGAACTTCATGAGGTTCCTCTCCACCCAAATCTGCAGCCTGCCCAGGTCTCGCTGGATGGTGGCACGGCCTTTTGGGGTGTGTTTCCCCCAAATAACTTGCTCATTTTCCTATTTGGGATACTGCACACTCAGGGCAGTTTTATTTAATTCTTCCAACAGGTTTCATGATATCACACGTTCAAAGCCAAGCACTTGGCAACAATTAATGCAGTTTATCAGAGGCCGGGCAGCCCCTTTTACATATGGAGCCGATAACAAAGGGCACCACTACAGAACCACTCATTTTAGACACCAAAATGAGGATACACAGGACCTGTTCAGTAATCAGCATTCCACATGGTGTCTCTTAGCTCCGAGGCATCTGCAGAGAACTTCATAAAGAGCATTTATACCCATCCCCTCCAAACGGTTCAAGTGAAGGGGTGCAGAAGTTCAGCTCCCAGTTGATTGGTACATTCAATTCCTGCTTAAGGCAAAGCACCACTCACCAAGTGTTTAAGGTGGCTAAAAATCTAACTCTGCACTTTTGGATCTGGCCCAAAACGTCTGGGTTACATGACCAGAGAAATATCTGAGCACATACAGTTTATATATATATTTTTTATTTTTTAAAAAGAGCCAAATTCCCTGTGACTGTAATGGGAACAGCAAAAGACGCTTCCCTAAGCTTAGGTGACAAGTCCATAACCGTGTTCCAACTCCCCCGTGAAAAGGGAGGAAAGAGGAGGAAAAATAAGGGATGGAAGCATCCAAATAACAGCCGTAAATAGCTTCTGATATAGGGAAAAACGGTGCATTTTTAGAACGTGCTTGTTCTAAAAGCTGCCAACTTTTCACCACGCTGCAGAGATGCGGTGCCACTCCTACAGCTGCCCCCCCAAAAGTCTCTCAAAAGAGACAGCAGGACCCCCCCCAGATTCCCACCCCACAGACTCTTCCCTTCCTTCAAACCCAATCCCAGTAATCCCAGCAGCATTACTCGTTTCTCCCAGTCGTGGGCTGCAAAGGTACTTACACTGGTGCTTGGTGATGGCCAGGACAAGGAATGTGCAGAATCCCACCACGGAGAGAGTTGAGAAGAGGATCCCGATGAAGAGGAAGAACCTCAGCCCTTTTAACCAGGTCCTCCAGTAATCCTGCACATACATCACATGCGTGATTAGGGCCCAGAGCGCCAGAACACCTGCTCAATTAGACAGCAAGGGCAATCAGCGTCACTCGGCATCACAGAACGGTGTCTAATAAATACACAGCTCATTAAACCCCACATGAAACACCAAGGAACACTAACGATTCATGGCTATGTCCCCCCAAAGAGGGGGAAGTACCAGAAAAGTGGCTGCCTGTGCCAGCATTGCCCTCCATGACCCCCCCTCCTTAAAGTGCTTTAGACCCAAGTCTTGATTCCAGGTTGGCATGGGAAGGATTCACAGAATCCCAGACTGGCTGGGGTGGGAAGGGACCTCTGGAGAACATCTCCCCCAACCCCTGACCAAAGCAGAGTCACCCAGAGCAAGTCCCACAGGGTCACGTCCAGGTTGGTTTGGAATCTCTCCAGAGCAGGAGACCCCACACCCTCTCTGGGCAGCCTCTTCCAGGGCTCTGACACCCTCACAGCAAAGAAGTTCCTCCTCATGTTCAGATGGAACTTCTCGTGTCCCAGTTTGTGCCAGTTGCCCCTTGTCCTGTCACTGGGCACCACTGGGAAGAGTCTGACCCTGTCCTCTTGCCCCCAGCCCTTTAGCTATTGTTCAACATCAATGAGATCCCCCCTTACTCTTCTCCAGACTAAAAACACTGAAGTCCCTCAGCCTTTCCCCAGTCCCCTCATCATCTTCGTAGCCCTTTGCTGGACCCTCTCCAGCAGTTCCTAGTCCTGCCTGAACTGGGGAGCCCAGAACTGGTCCCAGTCTCCAGCTGGGGCCTCCCCAGGGCAGAGTAGAGGGGGAGGATGACCTCCTTCCAACCACAGGCCACCCCAGGAGACCATTTGCTTTCTTGGCCACAAGGGCACACTGCTGGCTCATGGGCAACTTGTTGTTCACCAGGACTCCCAGGTCTCTCTCTCAGAGCTGGTTTCCAGCAGGTCACCCCCAGCCTGTCCTGGTGCAGGAGGTGATTCCTCCCAAGGTGCAGGACCTTACACTTGCCCTGGCCTGAACTGGGGAGCCCAGACCTGGTCCCAGTCTCCAGCTGGGGCCTCCCCAGGGCAGAGTAGAGGGGGAGGATGACCTCCTTCCAACCACAGGCCACCCCAGGAGACCATTTGCTTTCTTGGCCACAAGGGCACATTGCTGGCCCGTGGGCAACTTGCTGTCCACCAGGACTCCCAAGTTCCTCTCTCAGAGCTGGTTTCCAGCAGGTCACCCCCAGCCTGTCCTGGTGCAGGGGGTGATTCCTCCCCAGGTGCAGGACCTTACACTTGCCCTGGTTGAACTTCATGAGGTTCCTCTCCACCCAAATCTGCAGCCTGCCCAGGTCTCGCTGGATGGTGGCACGGCCTTTTGGGGTGTGTTTCCCCCAAATAACTTGCTCATTTTCCTATTTGGGATACTGCACACTCAGGGCAGTTTTATTTAATTCTTCCAACAGGTTTCATGATATCACACGTTCAAAGCCAAGCACTTGGCAACAATTAATGCAGTTTATCAGAGGCCGGGCAGCCCCTTTTACATATGGAGCCGATAACAAAGGGCACCACTACAGAACCACTCATTTTAGACACCAAAATGAGGATACACAGGACCTGTTCAGTAATCAGCATTCCACATGGTGTCTCTTAGCTCCGAGGCATCTGCAGAGAACTTCATAAAGAGCATTTATACCCATCCCCTCCAAACGGTTCAAGTGAAGGGGTGCAGAAGTTCAGCTCCCAGTTGATTGGTACATTCAATTCCTGCTTAAGGCAAAGCACCACTCACCAAGTGTTTAAGGTGGCTAAAAATCTAACTCTGCACTTTTGGATCTGGCCCAAAACGTCTGGGTTACATGACCAGAGAAATATCTGAGCACATACAGTTTATATATATATATAATTTTTTTTAAAGAAGAGCCAAATTCCCTGTGACTGTAATAGGAACAGCAAAAGATGCTTCCCTAAGCTTAGGTGACAAGTCCATAACCACGTTCCAACTCCCCCGTGAAAAGGGAGGAAACAGGAGGAAAAAAAAAGGATGGAAGCATCCAAATAGACCAGAGAAATATCTGAGCACATACAGTTTATATATATATTTTTTATTTTTTAAAAAGAGCCAAATTCCCTGTGACTGTAATGGGAACAGCAAAAGACGCTTCCCTAAGCTTAGGTGACAAGTCCATAACCGTGTTCCAACTCCCCCGTGAAAAGGGAGGAAAGAGGAGGAAAAATAAGGGATGGAAGCATCCAAATAACAGCCGTAAATAGCTTCTGATATAGGGAAAAACGGTGCATTTTTAGAACGTGCTTGTTCTAAAAGCTGCCAACTTTTCACCACGCTGCAGAAATGGGAAGAGCCGTTCAACACAAGAACTGCCCGTTCCCATGAAATTTCCTATAACCCCCTGGAAGAAGGCTGCCCATCGTTCCCCACAACACAACCCCAACCTCCAGCAACATCCCCAGCTCCAATGAGCACAAGCTGAGTCCCCTGGTTAAGCCGTGGTGCTGAGGAGAACGACTAAACCTCCTTAAGCAGCTCACACAACCTATAGTTAGAGCCGCTTTACGGGCTTAAAACATTTGACTCGTTCTGGCAAAAGCCCTCGGTGGCACCTCTGAAATGTGAGCCTCGAATGTGCAACCAACCAGCTTGGGTTTCTCCAACGCTGCTG